CCAAATTAGAAATTTGCGAATATTTTGTAGCATGTGACAAACACATTCTTACTATTTACTATTATTCACCTCTTGTTCATACAAATCCAAAAGACGCTCAAGTCGTGCCATTTTTTCCTTGTGAAGTTGCTCTAATTTATTTGTAAATTCGGTGTTCTGTTTTTTCAAAAGTTTCCACTATGTGGGAAGCTCTTGTAGATCTCTTCTTATTTTTATTACTATGTTTCTGGCAGGTCTGGTCAGGATTTGTGGGTTCCTTTTTATCTTTATTTGTTTGTTTCTTTTTTGTTGTCAAATGTATCCATGATACATCCTGGGTTTTTACTAGCCTTTGTTCCATATAGTTGATCAAATGCTTCCTTTTGCCTGAAATACTTAGCTTCAAACCTTGATCCTCTACTACAAGCAGAATCAGTTACTTCTTTCCAACGCTTTTTGCAAGTTATGATTTTTATTCATCACCTGGACAGCTGAAATGTTACATTTCAAGGAAGAGTTCAACTCCAGCAATTTCACACCACAGGGACTGATGGTTTCTATTCTTAAGAAATTCATCATTCCTTTCATGTCTGATATGAACTAACATGTCCTCTTGTTGACTTTCCACAAATGAAATCCTTGATCAGATGTAGGCCCTGGCGTTTAGGATGATGAACGAGATGAGCCTGAAGAGCTGATGATGACCTTGAAGCTGATAATGACCTGGCCTCAGTGACTGGGTATCTGCCCGTTTCTAATGTATTTTGCTATGAAGCAGTTGTTGCCTCCATAACTAGGTCTTTGCCTTTCAACCTCAAAGATAATAGAATGAAGTAATGAAAGATTATTTAGACATTAATATTAAATTAATATAACAACAGTACCCTAAATTATCGACAAGAGGGTGTACAAACAAACCTATGCATCCGTCACTGTGACGTAATTGTTTCAACAATTTTAATTCTATAACATGAAAAGTGTAAGAGGGCGACTGGAAAAGTTTTGTCCTTGGTGCAATAAAAAATAAGGGCAAGAAATCATTTACATTTCTTTATTTCATTCCTTCAAACCACTCTCTATTAACACGTATACAGTTTTTCAGACGAGAGATCTACTCCTGAATTGAAATGCTTTTCTGTATTTCTCTTTAGGCAGACCCTTCATAAAACTGATGATTTGTTGATCCAAGTGATGATCTAGAGTTATAGCGTCTTCCAGCTAAATTCTTTCAAGTTTTGGGAACAGAAAAAAAGTCACGGGGGAGACATCTGGAGTAAGCAGGATGAGGAAGACACTAACCCCTCCTTACTGAGAAAATCTGTGAATAATTTTGACTTGTGGGCTGAGACATTATCATGCAACAATAAGAGACGCTTGAAACCAGTTTTTGGACGCCTAGTTTTGAATTAATCTCTAGGTTTCTGCAAAATTTTACTTTTGTACATCTTTCCAGTGACGCTCTACTTCTTGGGAATAGGAAACACCCTCTCTATCAAAGAAAATAGCATGGACAATCTGTTTGTGCTCCGACAACTTTTTGCAACAAGTAGAGCTTTTTCAAAAAGCTTGGCCGTCTTTAGCAACAACCTTAAACAGTGAATTGGCATACACCTAACAGGTGTTATTCTTGAGCATTTCTTCGTCAACGTTTTACTGAAATTAGCCCTACCATGTGAAAGTTCAACCAGGCTCGGCTTTCTCCGTAAGCTTCAACTCTGTTGCTGGTCGGAGAAAGCCGAGGGATTAGAAAGACAAGCGCAAAACAAAAGAAAAATACAAGTTGAAAGGCTGACAAGCGATAAAGAACATTTCTGTTTACAATGAAAATATAGAAACGCCTTTTAGTAACAGCTATAAAAAATGAAAGCGTTAATTAGATTTATTTATTGCCATTTCCAACTGTTAGTTTTGTCATTTTTTTTAAGATTGAAAATCTTGAAAAATTGTTAAGTCGTACGAAAATAAGATAACCAGAAAATTATCTCCCTTGCCTTGAACAGCATTATAACCAATGAAATAATTTGGAAATATTCACATCATGTAATTTCTACCAATCACAAAAGAGAGGAAGTGCATAATCCGAAGACTGTAAAATACTTCAAATCTGTAATAATTGAACGCTTTCCATGTTTTTCATCCATACTATATTATCAAACTTTCTTTGTGGCTGAAAATAATGCACCCATGTTTCATCACCTGTTACTATGTACTATGACTGAAAATAGTGGATTTTTCCTCTTTTCAAATAGTTTTATTTTTTTCACATGAAACATGGTTATCTTCCTGTTTCTTATTCAGTAAATGAGGTTTCCATCTTGCAGAACTCTTCGTGTATCCGTGGGCCTGTCTTAGAATATTATAAACTGCTCCCATTGATATCCCTACTATAAGAGCTAAGTCTGTAACAGTATACTTTCCCTCTCTCTCTACCTATTCTTTGATTTTCATTTCTTTGCATTAATAACCGTTTTTTGGTCTCCCAGATCATGCTTTATCTTTAATACTTTCTACTCCATCTTCAAATTTTTTTCAACCACCTGGAAATTGTTTGACGGTTGTCGGTCTCCATATATATTGTGTACTTGTTCGAATGTTTCTTTTGCTTACTTTCCATGATAAAGCAACAAAGTATCACGTGTAGGGCATTTTCAAAACTTCATAAAACTTCAAAATTCAAACCATTCTTTTTTCTGCAAGGGCGATGCGGTAGGTAAAGAATTCAATCAACCGATAGTAGTGTGTTTGAAGTATTTACTTTTAATATTCAGTGGAGGACTGGAGAGGGAAAAAACTTTTTGAATGGTTCAGCCTCTCCATAACTATTGGAAATATGTTTTACAATATGAGTGGGGTCCAATGTCTAATTGCTGCAGTTGCTACCTCGTGAAACAACTCAAACAATTAAGGTATCTTGAAAGTTATAATCAAGTTTTAGCACCACTGTAGGGGTAGGGATTATTTTACAATGGGAGTAATTTCTTTTTCAGGTGGCATCTGCAGCAAACTGACATCTAGGATTCTTTTTCTGCAAATTAAACATATTTTTCTGCTGAGGGATCATTGTTCTACGTCAAAAATGACTCCAGTCATTATTCCACGGATTTCATTATTCGTCTTTACACCGGCAACATACAATTCTAATTAGATTTGATGTAGACTGGCAACATTTTTTTTATACATTTGTATAAGACAGATATATATCGACTTCATATCCGGTGAAATATCTAAATATTTGACAGCTATTCGTCATTATTGTAAATTTTGTTATTTGTTTGATTCGGTATAGGTACAATTAATAATCAGAATTCAATCTTATCCTGAATAAGATTCTTCATTTGATTTGGAAATTTCAATTTGAACTGAAATGATTTTACATGTATTATATTTATATTATGCACGAATGCAATATACGACCCTTTTTCATGACAAATAAGCACCTTCCAATTCTTTATATTATCCGACATTGTTTTTATAGTGATATAACGAACCTCCATATAGTCCCAGAGACAAGAACTGTCCTTCGGCAATATATGTAAAAATTAAAAACGACCATTCATTGAGACTAACTGTCACTTATGTGATTATGTATTCATTAAGAAATACTAATCAATATCTAAGGAAATAATCTTAATAATATGATAGATTTATATTTTTAAAACATAAATATTTGAATTATTTTCCAATAATAACTATATCGAAAAGCATATTTTTCATGTACAAAAACAATGAAAATAAAATTACCTTAACCAGCATGGATTGTTTTTTCTTGAATTCTCGGAATTAATACAATTTTTTTGAACAGACATCTAAGGACCTTATGTATAAAAATAGTTATCGTTTTCTACTTTACCTGGGATTCTCAGGGTGGAGTTTCGACTTTATCATACGAATGTGTAAACAATCCGTGCTTGTATAAAATCAATCGACGAACAAAATATCAAATGAGAACTATGAACAACCATAAAAAAATAACTAAGGGAAAATATAAGCCTTGGTACTCAAAGATTCCAGTAACAAGAGATAAGAATTCTAAAAATTGACAGTATTGTTATCTTCCAAACGAGTAACGTACAAATCATGTTCCAACATTCAGCAATTATAATTACTCGAAAAATCAGAAGAAAATATTCTAAACATTTGCAAAAGTGAGACAGAGAGTATCGATGTAGTTACTTTTATGCTCTTACAATCTACAAGTCATTACATGGTTGAAGTCTATATATAAAGGTATATTATCGATTACAAAAATCCTGCTTGACCTCAGTTTGGTAACTTTTTTAAAACTAAATTTATCCAAAAAATGATGTCCATGTATCCTGATTAATCCAACAATTGAATAATGTTCTATTCCAATGAGAGAAAAATTGAGACAAAGAAACGTCAGAGAGAGAGAAAGACAAAGATGTTTCAATTCTTCTTCTTGGATCTAAAGATTATACCAAATCAAATATGTTGAATGCAAAGGGAATTTCAGAGTTTTCATTTATTTTAAATCTTCTGTGTTGTTTCTAAGCAAACTCTTATTAATAACATTAAGAGAAAAAATGTACTACTGTCAATTCTAGCTCTATTGAGATAGAACCTGCTTAATGACGTATGTTGAATCTCAAAAATGAATCTACATAAATAAAGATGATATTATAGGCTAATCTTCACAGATTATTAATTGGAGAGAATCTACCTTTTTTTCAACATCTACTTAACTCAAAACATGTTTTAAATTAATCTTTAAGAAAGAGGCAAAATATACGACAAATACTCTTTATTTTCAGACAAAGTTACAAACACATACACACACCCTCACACACACACACATCGTAATCTCAATGTGAAATGATCACTCTCGACTTCTTTCAATATTTTCATAGTCTATCCTTTTTAAGCCGTTTTAAACGTTTATGCAGATTTAGGCCTTGCTCTTGTTTGTCCATTTTCCTTTTTCAAAGAAAAAATAGAAACAACTTCTGTCTCACTTGAAATGATTTTATTTCTCTCTCAAAAACATTTAAAATGGCCTGATTTTACTTTCTATATGGTGTATATGAATTTTCTGCTTGTAAAAAAGAAACGAAGAACTTTTTCTTGAGATTTTCATATTTTTCCTTACGAGATTTCCAACAACAGCAGACCATTGAGAGGAAAGTGTATCTGCATTCCGTGAATCGCCACACGTATAAAAAGGGATTGAGAAAAGAATTCAGAAGAATCAGAAAGCCAGCAAAGCTTTGCCATGTCAGAAGTGTTTCCGCCATATTGTTGTCCACGACGACGACAATGACATTAATCACAATCAGAGGGGTGTAAAGGAGCATAAAACTTCCGATGATTGCTGATAATTTTATGAGAACCCTGGCTTGGTTGCTGTAGAGATTTCCTTTCATGGTGTTTTTTGGATATGCAGAACGGGACAATCTATATATTTTGATGAACATAAGCAAGTAAAGAAACATGTTAAAAACGAGAAGAAAACAGAAAACCATAGTGACGATTGCAAGTCCAATTTTTCCAGTCATGACATAAGATACACACAGCGCTGTTCTCTGAGTTTTATAAATTAAAAAACCATCAACGTAATTCAATACAGAAAGGATAATTCCGACGATCCATGTACCACTGATGACTATAACAGAACACTGTTTCTCATGGAGGTGAACCTTCTGGTATCGGTACGGATAGTAAATGGCAAGGAACCGATCTAGGAGAAGCCCCGTTATTGTGGCAAATGAGACGATCACTCCAATGCAGTATAAATATGTCAGGGGTCTGCATATGGACTCTGGTAAAACTGGACTTAGAAAGGAGTCCAGAAGAATAGCCACACCAGTCATTAAGTCAACCAACGCTAAATTCATGGTCATTGCTTTGATCTGGATATTCATCTTTTGACATCGTGCCAAAATTATCAGTGCAAGGAAATTCACCAACATGATTGAGATTCCAATTAGAAAAGGGAGGATTTCTTGTTGTAAAATAAGAATCCGGTCTTCAGTCGTGTTGAAACTCATAATGCTATGTTGATGCTATAGAAGTCAATTGAAATCTCTTTCCCTAAAAGTGATAATTTTTCTGTTCAACAACAATTTTTAAAATATTGACATTTCCTGACAACCAATCGTCTTTAAGATTATAGCTGACATATTAACTTGTAAATTCTAGAAACTCTAGCAACTGAAATATCAATGCCTTGTTTTGTCCAATTTTAATATTTTCAGATCAAATATTTTAGCAATGTCTTTATATTTCTATTCCTACTCTATTTTAATCTTAACATAATAAATATTCCAAAATCAGAATATCTATAGGCACAAGAGTGCCAGACTGCTATAAAAAAAAACAAAAAAAATTTTAAAAAAAATTAAAAAAAAAAAAAAAAAAAAAAAAAAAAGACTACTTTTAAAAATTCCAGCTTGTCTTGAATAATAATTTGTCCCGCTTCAGACAAATTTGTAGATAAGTGATTGGATAAAAGCTAATCAAATGACGATTTGAAATTTTCCGAATAAGGTCTCCGTCCAGGGGTAATATTAAAATCAGGCACGCGATTCCGTTCGAAGCGTCGTTCTTGTAAATAAAAATGGCAGCCAAGAAACGGTTTGCGTAGGTAGCTAAATTTCTTGTTACTTGTTATGATATTTTATGTTGATTGTTATTGGATTAAAACTTGATATTTTGAATTATTTAAAAAGGCCTTCAGCGGGATAAATTCGTTACAAAGTCAATTCGGGACCTAATACGGAATCATACAGGGTGTGAAAAGGAAATCTGTATTGGGACTCGGCTTCGCTTCGTCCAGTACGGATTTCTATTTCACACCCTGTATGACTCCGTGGAACTAATAAAATCTTCCAATATTGCTTTAACATTGGAAGAAAGTAGTGCAATTAACATGTACAGTTGAATATTGAAAATATGTTTTATAAGGGTTTGGGGTGTTGTTTATCATTAACAACGTTAACTCACACTGGAAAAATGGCATGGTCTATATTGTAAATGCTTATTGAAAGTTAAGAATCCATCAACTGGCATTTTAATTAGTTACATTCACAAGAACAAATTAAAGTTACATAGTGAGTCAATATCATGTGTTTCTTTAAAGATAATTGTATCATAAAGCTAAAGATTTATGAGAAATATGAATAAGGCGAAGTGTTGAGATCTCAACTGCACGGTAAAAGCAAGAAAAGACTGCAAAACGTGAGTGCCGGAAAAAGGAAACTTGTATCTATGGCGTATACGAGTGCACTACATAGACAACATATCAACCAACCCGAGTACAGAAAAATAAAACTCAGTGAACATTTTGCTGTTTGTGAACAGGGACAATTCTCAGTTTATCCCTTTTATAAACTCAAAACAGAAAATCTTTTAGAAAGACGGGAAACAGAAAAACATTTCATCAAGATTTTTAAACCGTCCTTAAATAGTTTAATATAGACTGTTTCATGACTTTATTATTTATTACGCTATTAATGAACAAAGTAATTTTACTTAGACTCTATAATTGTTTCCTCTATAAGCATTGTGACGTCATTGCATTGCATTGTTGTTGACGTTATCATCAGGTAGCGTTATAACGTCACATGTTTGAATTGTTTTGAATTGTAAAACGTCTGAAGAAGTATAATGAAAGCGCTTACGTTTTACTAACATTCTTGCCTTGTTATTTTAATTTTCATATTAATTACCGGACACTGTGATATTTCTTTTCATTTTTTGGATATAAATATATATATATATATATATATATATATATATATATATATATATATATATATATATATATATATATATATATATACCGGTAAATATGCGAGTATATACGGTATATATATATATATATATATATATATATATATATATATATATATATATATATATATATATATATATATATATATATATATATATATATATATATATATATATATATATATATATAGAGTTATATAGTTTATTTATTTATTTATTTATTTATTAGCAAAGAAGGTTAAAAATTGCATACAGGTTACTCTTGATAGCTCGACCTTCGATCTCTCGAAGGGAGTCTCCAGTCCCAATACATTGCCCCACCCCACCCCATTAATTTTATGAGTCGAGACACTAATTTTGACAAAACGAATGCGTAATATGATGTTCGTCTTACATAGAATAAATTATGATAATATACATTTTTTGGTTTTATTCAGTTTTAAAAAAAGAATATGCGTATCTGTATTTTCACCTGAAAAATACAGAGGAGTATTGTTGTTAAAGCACGTGTGTATTTTAGCACTGGAAATGAATGAGAATTATAACATCCCAAGCTCGAGACAGCTCAGTATTACGTTACACTACAACTCCATATCATTTTTCGTAAGGAAAGTAGTCCCGGAGAATTGACACTGTATGGAGTTTGATAACATCCGGTTGACTAATTTTAAAACCTGTCAACCAACTTGGAAAATTCCGGACCCTTGAAAATTCGAACTCTTGCGTTACATAATCCACAAAACTTGCCAATAAAAAATGAAAAAGTGTGATGATAAGGAACAGTGATCCATCTCATAAATATAGTACACAAAACGAATCGTGAACAGAGCAAAAGCGAAGATCCCTGGAAAAAAGAGTTGGGATCAGCTAGCTAGGAGGAGTAATCATCCTCTTCCGACCGGTCACACCCGCCGTGAGCCCTATGTATTGGTCAGGTGGACAGAGTATTCCGTACGTAGTCAAATTAAGAATTCGAGCAATGACCTGACAACTGGTATGAGTTGTATTTACAAACAAGGTCATTAGAACAACGGTCGAATTATAAGCTGACCTTAAAAGGCGTTGTTAAAATCCTTGTAACATCAACTTATTTGTCAGTATCCAATCAAAGTGATTGATTAGAAATCTCAATGTAGAATGTAAATACAGGTATATGGTTAGATCAGTTATCACAGTAATGGTTTGCAATGTATATATATATATATATATATATATATATATATATATATATATATATATATATATATATATATATATATATATATATATATATATATATATATATATATATATATATATATATCTCACAGATATCGTCTGCGAACAGGAAAGTTATTTTTTACCTTTTTTACCTGCAGCAGACATTGCATATTAGGTTATAATTTCACTTGATTTTTACCCTATGTTAAATCAAAATACACCGACAAGGTTCCTAAATGGTTATCAATATGGTTTGTTTACAGTAGAGGAAATAAGTTTTGTTAGAAGTACAGTCGTGTGCTAGAATTTCTGCACATTTTAATCTGTTCGAAAGATAATGTCTTAGTTTCGCTAAGTAAGCAAATCAAAAACACTACTAAGATTGAATATCATGCAAACGATAATTAGAACAAACCGTAAAATTTGATAAAAATAAGAACAGATGTTTGAACTTGATTGCGAGAATGAACAATCCCTTGTCCAAATCAAAGTTTTCATTAGAAAACATCAATTAAAAAGCACAAATGAAAGAAATCTACGAGGAATCTACTTGCTTGTATTGATTATAAGCAGTTATCGGATTACACCTTAATCCTGAGAAAGAAAAATTTCACATTCCAAAGAAAAAAAAGTAAAATTGAAACATAGAATGCAGATATTTCAACAAAATACATATATTGATGCATGCAATAGAACAGCTCCAAGTACATGAATGTGTTATTAAAACTTATAATCTTAGAGTTCAATTCAAAAAAGTATCATAATAAGCTCAACATATGTTTTCCCAAAGAATTTTATGAACATCTACCTTTGATGAAGCGGATCTTGAAAGGCACGGTGAACAGTTTTGCATTGCGTGATTTTTTTATTTGGTACCTGTATCAGGTAACATAATAAAGTGTATATAGTCATGAAGCAAAGCGAGCTAAATGTATTCGAGCTGCTTACTTCTCTTCTCGTGTTATGTGGCTGTAATGATAATTAAGACGTTTTTTTCATCAAGAGACATAGTTCATTGTCCATTTTAAGTTACATGTAACACATTAATAAAATTCTACAGCGATTAATATATCAAATATTGCCCTAATGAGAGAATTTGACGGAAAAAAATTATTTAATAATGTGATAAAGTGGAAAGAGGACTCGCAATGACAGTATTTTTTCAATAAACTTACTCCAAACTTACTTCGCTCAGTTTTTCTGAATCTTTTGACGCAATTCATAATTTTAGCAGAGGACTAGGCTTAGTCTAGCCTTGGTACCTACGATTTTGGGGGCCGGAAAGGGGGGGGGGGAATCATAAATACAAGAATAAGAGATAGTAATCTGAAATGAACACGAGTTAGGGGACCTACTTTAAATAAGATACACATCAGAGAGAGGGACTCTTTGTCAAGTTTTATTTCCATGAGTAGTATCCTTATCATTTAGTATTGTGATCTTTCCATATTAATGAAAAATCTGACAACGCATGTGAGTTAAGGCTAGATATAGGCGTTTCTATGCAAATGAGCTAATAAAAACGCATAAGAAGTATATTTATTATTCAGAGAAAGTTTTCTTTTACTTTCTTATGCATACTTAGTATCCACGATATGTTATAGCCAGTACACATTATGACGTCATATTATGACGTCACTGATCTTACCTACTGGAGCTAATAAAACACATCTACAAAACAGCTTCGGCGCAAGGGATTACCCTATTTATTTTCACATAAAAATTGTATAATGCTAAGAAAAATATTCTATAGATTAATAAAACTGCTGCACAAATCCTAGGCACTTTCTCATTTGATCGGAATTTGAGGAAACTTATACCGGACTGTACATTTTACCTTTATTCAACTTAAAACTTTACTAATAGAAATTATACAACTGAGCTGTTGATATTGGTGCAGCAATACCAAACTTTGGAATATTTTGCTTCTACATATACCTTGTTTTAGTTAAATAAAATAGAGGATGCCCTTGCGCCG